GTCCTGGCAACAAAAAGAAGAGAAACAAGATCTCAGATGAGAATTAAAATGCTTTTTGTCCAAACCAGTGGACCTGCTCTTTCCTGAGGCTGCTGAGTGAAATCATTTAGCAGGGTTACAAAAGGGCTGGATACCATGTGGGTGTTAATAGCATTTGCAGCTATGTAAGCAACAGTAACAACAGCAGAGTAATCAAATCTTATCCTTCAGAGAGGAAACTGATCACCTGAGTGAGGCTGGGATTTCCCCCTTGCACGATTGCCAGCTACCTTTGCCGGCTAATTGAAACATCGAGTGCTGTCGGGGGCCCGGGGCATGACAGTGGTTTGATGGATCTAATCTCTGAACACACAGAGCAGCTCTGGTCACGCTTCTGCCCTGAGACCTGATAGCTCCCCAGGTACTGCTGCCTGTTATCTCTGGCTGTGGCTTTCTACTTTCTTAATTTTTTTTTTTCCTCTTGAGTTGGGCTTCAAGTGCATTGCATAGCTGAGGAGAGGCAGACATGGCTCTGGGCCCTGACCAGGGCCATGTTAAGAATAATCTTCATATTTTCTCTTGCTACAGCTTTTCTGTCTCTTAATGGTTGGTTCACTGGCTCTGTGGGCAACTGGCTCCAGACCGGCTGCCTCTTGTGTGAGTTTCTGTTGTAGGATGCAGCATCTGTCTCAGCCTCCACTTAAGCTTCTTTGCCTTTTTTTTTTGTGTTCACCTGCCTCTGTTTCCAGAAGAAAGCTCAAGTCCTGGGGGCTTCCCATCTCAAATGCAGAAGAGCAGTTGAGGGTCAGCCCTGCTGGGCATTTAGGTCCTCATCAGGCATCTTCCACCTGTTCCTGATGAGAACAGGGAGAAAAAGGGTGACTTTTCCCTGAAGAAGAGCCTTCATGGTTCTGGGCATTGGCTGGTCCCTATGAAGCTTGAACCTCAGACCACCAGAGCACAGAAGTAGAAAGAAAGGTGCAAATCTGCTTGTGGAAAGAATGTCAGCCAAGTGCCTAGTTGTAGATATAGGGAAAATGTCCTGGAGGTTGGAGTGAGGATAAAAAACACAATTTGGGTGCAGTCTGTGCAAAATCCCTGCCATTGCAATGAACCTGTCTGTCCTTCTGTCCCTCCACAGTGTCTCTGAGAACATTTTGCTCACTGGGTCACCCTCAACACAAAATTGTACAACTTTCCCATGTACCATGCTCTGGTGTCAGCTCTGCCATCACAGACAGGGATGGGGAAGGGGCAGATCTGATGTCACATCGTGCATGGTGTAAATGTAGAGTGCTGGAAGCATGGATGCTACTGTGGCTACAGTGATATCCCTCTCCCTGGACTGTGTTGTGGTGCTTGTGTGGCCACCAGCCAGCTCGGCTGGGCGAGGTGGCCCATTAGAAAGCCGTGTGCCCTTCTTTCCTGTGAGGTGGATTTTGGGTGATTCACTGCTCTAAACTGTCTGTTGTGGCTGTGGGGAGGCTGGCCCTTATGCTAAGGAGGGCGGAGTATGTGGCAGCAAGGCTGGCTGCTGACTTTGGCAAGCTGTGCCTGCATCAGTGTTGCCTTCCTTGGAGGTGTTTGGGGTGACAAAAATAGCCTTGGAAAACAACTGGTGTGCTTTGGGAGGTGATGGGAAATGCTTTGGGAAGTGATGCCCAGAAGAGAGAAAGACCAAGAGCTGGCTGGTGCATTTGTCCAACAGACTAATGACAACAAAGCCCGGGCCAACATCTTCACTCCTCTGTGGAACAGGCTGTTCCCAAGCCTTTGATTCCCTACTTTATGGGTTTTTCTGCCTTCTCCTGTCCTAACCAGAACCGGTTTTGTAGAGGGGCTGGAGCAAAACCATCAAAGCTAATAGTTCTGGCATTCTTTTGTAGTAACACTGAAGTGTTTGCTGAGGTATTTTAGTTCTTGACTGCTGCTTTTTTCCAGGCGTAGTCTTGTTGACTTTAAAATAGCCATCAAGGGAGTGCTCGGGCCAGCTGAGCTGCTGAGCAGTGCTCTTGGAGAGCTTGAGGGCAGGCTGAACCTGTGGCTGAACCCCACTCAGATGCTCTTGAGACAGAGCAGTGGATGTAGCCAAGGGCTTCTTTCTCCAGCTGTCGCACAGGAGTGGATACATACCTGAAAGGCAATGTCTTGAGTCCTGTGACCTGTGCTGGGGAGAAAACCTTGGTCAGCAGTTGCCCTCCAGAGGTGTTCTGACTGCAGGAAGCTTGAGGAGATGTCTCTCTTTTCTATAGCTCTCTCCTCCTAGCGAGGAAAGCATGTGCAAAGCCAGGTCCTCCAAAGCCAGGGTGTCCAGTGGAGATCCCTGGGGGAAAGCCAATCTTTTTAGAAGGAACTGGAGTGCCAAGAACTTTCTCTGAGGGGAGGGTTTATCCTATTATTTTCTGAAAATCATTTCCTACCACGCTGGAGAATTAGCTTGCCAAAGCTCAAATTACCCGGCAAGGAAATCACTGCCTCCAGATTAATTCGTAGTTCTTTTGTCTCTTCCATGTTTGGCTGATGTAAGCGTTAGGTAAATATTTGTACAACACAGAGAATTGCCTCCCTTTCTTCTCTTCCCCAGGGGTCAAAGAAATGTCAGCCATTGGCACTTGTGTGCAGCCAGGCTTCTGTTTGCTGCGAGGCAGGCTCTGTGCCAGCCATGGGCAGGAAACAGCCAGAGTGGCTGCCTGTGGTGGCCAGCATCCTCTTCCCAGGGAAAGCAGGTTCCTGATGCTTTGTCCTGAGCTTATTCCACAAGGCAGTGAAGTACTGAGTTTAACAATGAAACCAGATAATCTCTCCCCTCTGCTGAAATGAAAAAACCTTCCTCTCTTGGTGTCCTCACTCAGTGATCCTCTAGGGGTAAATTGACTTTTGTTGCCCTTATTTTATTTTTTTTCCTGGTTTACTTGGTTCCTCCCTAATTTAACCAGTGGGTCTTCGATGGTCCTTGTGGATATCATCCAGCTCAGGATATTCTGTGATTCTGGGTCTCTCTTCTGGAAAAAAAAAAAAAAAAAAAAAAGCATGCTGTGCTCTCCCATTAAAATGATGAGCCCTCAAAGTAGCAAGTCCTGAATTTCATACAAACTACAAAGTCCGTTTCAGCCCCCTTCAGAGTGGGAGCGTGTGTCCAACTGCAGGACACTCACAAACAGTGGTTCCTGCCTTGTTGCTCTGAACAAGGTGGAAACTCATTAGTTACCTGTAAAATTATGTAGACACCAGGATTTCTCCTTCTTTCCCATGGCAGTCACTCCTTGAAGCACAAGATGTGCTTGGCTGCATTAATCAGTAGATTAATCACACAGCGTCTGACTGAAAAATCTTCTGCTGAAGATTAATACTGATGTTGATATTTTTAGCCATAAACTGAAATGCATAGCTTCAAATCAAAATCTGGAGGTGGGAAGATCTAGATCAGAAATTTGTGACTGTTCAGCATCTAATGGGGCCTGAATGAAACTCACATATCCAAGCTAATGCCCACGTCAGGAAAGCAGAACACCCTACTTGCCTTGAGTCCTGTCTCTCAGTTGAATCTGGGACTACCTTCATGTTTTCCACACTTCTTGCACTTTCTTTTCATTAACTGTCCCCTTTGATCACCAGATCATAGGAGGCAGCTTCAACATCTTCACTTTTCTGCTCACCTCTGCCAGATCCCCCAGGACCCAGATTCAAGAGCAAGGAGAGACAGAGTTCTTCAACCCAGTTTGTAGGTGCAATAACTGGCCAGGGGAAGATGGGGGGGGTTGACTGAAGATGGGTATGCTGGCTCTGAAACAGCAGATGTTGCCCCAGAAGTGGGCTGTTCTTTATCCTCAGAGCATGTTCCTGCTGCTTCTGGCTGCAGGAACAGTGCAGAGGGCTCAGATCATTTGTCTAAATCTGTTGGACTTGAAGATGATGGGATGGTTCCCTTCACATACAGCCGATTTCTCTCAACCTCCTAGAGCTTTGGGGATGATTCCCAATTTTTAAGGAAGTGGGTAGAGAGCCTGGCTCTCTCATGCTGATACATGGATATTGAGCTGGTCTGCCACCGGCTGGGAATGGGTAGGGCTTGGGGAGGTTTTCGCACTTGCCCTTCATGATGAAGCTGTCATGCTGTGTGGACACACCGCTGAGGTGCTGGCAGGCTGGTTACTTGCTGACTAAGTGCCAAAGTGTTTATCAAATCTGAAAACCACACAGTGAGACACTGAAGCACTGCTGGGAAGCGTGAGCTCTGCTCACCAGCACTGTCTCATCAGTGACATGGACAGTGGTCACAGAGAGCTACAATGTTATGCTGCATCTGTGGTCTTTGTCCCTCCCAAGCTCAGGAGGCCACCAGAGTTGTAGAAGGAAATCAAAATTGATCCTAACCTCTGGATTGAGAAGACTAGGAGGAGAGGGGATGTCAAATGAAGTTGCTTTGAACCTGGGAGGTGACTTCACTTGAATGGCGATGTCCTTAACTGCATCACTGCTAATATTTTAGGCATTACAGCAGAATGTCCTAACAGGTGTATTCTTTGCCATAATTTCCTTCAAGAAAAGAAGATTGATAGCTTTTATTGTGCAAATAAAATAAGAATAATATATATGAATAATATGCTTTTGATGGTTAAATTAATTAGCACTCTAGTTATAGTCTTATTTTTCTTTGGCATTGCTAGTTAAAAAAAATTGATGTTCTATAGTTTGACCACTGGGATTATGTGAGTAATCTACAAACAGGTTCTCGGTCCTGTGGTGATTAATGAAATCTCTGACATGTATTTTAGAACTATGATGAATCTTTAATATAAGTATTAATAAGAAGGAAGGAAGAGCTTTTGAGGAAGATCAAGACAATTTCTCTGTATCAGTCTGCCAACTCCAAGTAGCACAAACAACTCCTGATCTCTGCTAGGCAATTTCAGAGAGATAGAGGTCTCTCAGCCTTGAAAAGGAACAGTTTATTCTGGCAACTGTGGTGGTTTATTTTATTAGACTGTTTTCTGACATCTCTTTCTGTTTCCTCTATACAGGATATGAAAACTGGAGGGAGCTGGCTAAGGTTCTGTCAGACACCAGTGTCCCAGGTGGGGACCCAAACCTTCAGTTTTATTATCCACAGGAGCCAGGACACCAGGTGAGGAGATTTGGGGTGCCTTCTGAACGTTCACAAGGGCAAACCTTCCTTTCTGATGCTGGCCCCCAGAGACAGCTCTCTCTTCATGCAGGAAGGAGAGCTTGCCGCGGGGCAAAATCTGAGCTGACTCACAGCAATGTGAATGTACAACAACTCCAGTATAGTCAATTAAGTTATTTTAGATGTACTAAGCCACAGTAGTAGGCTGAAGCTGGCTGGATCTGTGGCACAGGAAGGCAGCAATGAGCAAGACAAGCAGAAATGAAAAGTCAGGAGAGAGTTTGCTGCTCTCTAGTGAAGCACGTCTTGGTACTTTTGCCTAAAGGCACTGTTGGAAGAACTATTGCTTGGACATTTTTGAAACAAGGGTAGGGAAAAAACCCACCAGAAAGTGATCTAAGTTTTAACTCTGTGCTAGCAAGCTGTTATAAAGTATTGGTGTCCTTTTCCCTCAGTAGTTCACTTGAAATGTGCTGTCAAACAAGCCAGAGGATGTTTTCATCCCACCATGGCCACAATAACTGGCCTGTCCTTTGGAAAGGGAGCTTGAGAACGTGTTTTATTTTCTCATATGTTCTTGTAACCAGGTATGAGCCCTCTTGTGTAGATGTCAGTGCTGTGTCATTTTTTGGGTTACTTTGAGTTTCCTCTACTTGTATTTCAGAAGCAAGAGCTGCAAAGAGGTGGGAGGAATAAATCGAATTATGCGGCTGTGGACAAGCCTGTCCCATGGATGCCAGAGGTGGGTGCTTTTCTCCATTGTTTGGCATGAGGGAGGTGTAGCTACAGACCTGTACAGCAAGATTGTAAGGCAGGGACATCTACCTGGAAATTAATTCACTTTACGGGAGGTCTGTCCCCTATCACCCCCTCCCTGCTTAATGACACTTACAGACTTGAGTAATCATCTAGAAAGACAGGAGTGTCCAGATTCCAGATAATTTGGTTTTTCCACTGTCATCAGGGCACCAAGCACCCACTTAGAATTCCCTGAGAGCAGGCAGCCCACTGCCTTCCTGAAAAGTGAAGTTTTTTCAGGTCTGGGGTACGTCAGGCCAAGCATTCAATAAGCAAATACGTGATTGTGGCACGCAGAAGCGTCATACTCATGCCCTGGCATTTGCAATCCAACCCCTGTGTGTCATACATAGAGATTTCTCCACTTCAGTGACACTTGGATGAACAGAGACCTTCTCTGGTGACCCTTGCAGACTGGGGTAAACACCCCCTTTGTTTCCTTCATGCCTCGTTTATTCTTTCCTCCCCGGCTCCCTTATCTCATCATTCCTCTTCAGATAAGGGAGCAATGCAGCCTGCTTCTAATGAGAGGGACACCAGCCAGGGGGCATTTAGCTAATGGAACCAGCTCACTAAATTCCTCAAGGTGATTAGAGACCTGCACAAACTAAAGGGCCTCTGCAGCTCCCCTGTGGAGCGAGCAGGCTGCTGGCCCTGTGCTCCGGATGAAATTATCACTGGTGATGGAGGGAAAGTGTGTCCCTCCAGTGCTGCAATGAGCAGTTCACGTCCCTGCAGCATGAGCTAAAGCTTTCCTGGAAGCAGCCAGCACCAGTCACCCTCCAGTGCCCAGAACCAGACCAGGTTACTGATCTATTCTGCTGCCTTGGCTCTGGTGTGCCGGTCCCAGCTGGAGCCTGGGGGTTTCCTCTGGCTGCAGGGCAGTGTGCAGGCAGGGCTGCCTCGTAGGTGAGAGCCAGCGGGACACGAAGGCCAGCACTGCTGCTGTGCACAGGGGTGACAGGAGCATGTACTGTTCCCCCCTCCCGTGGCAACAGGCAGTACATGGCATCCCCCAGCTTCTCTGAGGCTTTGCCCTGTGTCTATGATCCCCTTCCTGGGGATTTCTTAGAAGTCTTGAAAACAGCCAACTGTGGTGTGCAGTGAGCCTTCACTGGGTTAGAGATGCAGCTGGTGGGGTACATGCTATGGCCTGGACACTTCTCTCTTTAGCTCTGTAAGGCAACATTTCCTGCCCTTGCTGCAGGACCTGTCTGTACCCAGAGGATCAGCAGAGTCACCCTGACTGCAGAGGCCAGCACTTCACCAGCACCAGCTGCAGGTGATGGAGAGGGATCTATGGACACAGCTCTGTATAGAGCTGCTTGTGTTCCTCTTAACCACTGGCTGAAATTTCTCCTGGTCTGGGGATTAAGTTTTTCTGTGACTCTGCCCAAATTAATTACCGAAGGTCTGTAATCCCATTGTGCCCTCCCCACGGCATCTGTAATAACTTAATTGCAGCCTGATTCCTGGGGTGAGGGGCACCAGGTTGCCTGACACAGGTCGGGGAACTGGGCTTTGTTTGAATAGAGATATATATTCCTCTAGATAGATAGACAAATATAAATAATTGACAGGTTGCAGGGTGAGCTGGCAGCCAGCATGTCCGAAAAAAGACAGGTTTCAATTTCCCCCCCTCTCAGTTTCAGGATATGAAAGAAGCAGTTTAAGTCTTCAGCCTTGGATAACGTGGTGGGAAAGTGTGCACATAGGAAACCCCTAATGAAGTTTTACCCTGTGTCTGGGGGAAGAAAGAGTTCAGCCTCACACCTGGTCTCTTCAAGGTGCCTGTGCACATGTTGATCCCTACCCTTAATGTCAGTTCCAGGCACCACAGCAAAGTCTTCCAGTTCCAGCATCTCCCATTGTCTCCTCAGGGTGGAGAGATGTTGGACGTCTTGTTTAATTAATTCAGAAAGGTGCCTGGCTATTGTCAGGGCAAAGCTGCGCTGTGGGACCATAAGTTTCACCATTCGATGCTGCTGTAGGTGTGGGGGAGAATTTTCAGAAAAGCCTGGTTAACCTCATCGTTCTCATTTGCCTCTGCAAAAGCTTCTGTTCAGCTCTGAGAGGAGAAAGCACCGGGGTGCGTTTAAAATGTCCTCCCCTCCATCATGTCTGCACAGCCTCAGGACTTCATTCTCTGTGAGGGGTGTCCAGGAGGGATGCCCCTTGCAGGCAGTGCTTGTATAGGTGCTGCACAAAACCAAAGCACTGCTCTGGGGTATTGTCCTGCTACCAAACCCGCCCTAACAGGAAGCCTCCTTTCATTAGAAGACTGAAAGATGGAGCTATTGCTGCTTGCTCTGTCCCTGTGCCTGCTGATGTCTCTCCCTTGCCTGCTCGTGCCCATCCAGACACGAGGGCTGTGTAGCTAACTTGTCTGGATGGATTCCCACAAGTGCCCAGCACAGTGGAGCGTGCAGCCAAACCCAGCTGCTGGAGGCTGAATGTCACCCAGTTCAGGGGAGCTGGGCCAGGCAGGAGGAGGGGCCGCAGCCACTCTGTGGAGACAGAGGAGTCTTATGAACTCAGGAGTTTCTAGTTGGCAGCACAATGTCGCCTTTCTTCCCGGGCTCAGGCCCTCTCTGTGCCCTGTTTATCATCCCCAGTGCTGAGCATTCCCTGGGCTGCGTGCAGCTACGCAGCTGATTTGCCTCTGTGATGCCAGAGCCACCCAGGATTAAATTAGGAAAGGCTTCTCTTTTCCATCCTGCTCCAGTTACAGGGCAGCAAGTCATGTCTCTCCTGCTGCAATCCTCCCAGCTTTGCTGCTTGCCCTGGCCTTTCTTCCTTGGGCTCCTTGCTCACCAGGAGCCTCTGGATGTGTGGGGCTACCCCCCCAGGTGGTTTTGATATGGTAGAATTTGGGCTAGAAAGAGATTTCTGGGCTCTTTGTGTGCTTGATCCTCCTCTATGGTCTGTTTTTCTGTCAGGGGCTGGTAATCTAAAATTTCTCACTAGGAGGAAGCAGAAATACTAAAGTTTCTTAATACCAAGCCAGGGCTGCAGGCAGGTGTTATTTCAGTGTGCTCAGCAGGGAGGGTCAGCACTGGTGCTCAGAGACCAGCCATGCTCCCGAAGCCATGGAGGCCACTGCATCAGCAGTGAAGCAAGGGCCTCTCTCCTCCCTGCACTTGTTAGAGTCCAGCTCTCCCTTCCTTTGGGTCACTCCATGCCCCTGGTGTTGTGCTCCCAGAGGGTGTCAGCCTGCCCAGACCTCCTTGGGTAGAACACCTCTTGTGCTTGTGCTCCTGGGCACTCTCGCCCTGTGCTGATGGTGCCCTTTGGTGCACGACCTGTGCCCGCTTTGGATCTGAGCTGAGTTCTTGCAATGCTGCTGTTTCAGCCAGGGTGGAGATAAGCAACTGCGGGGTGGGGTTGGGACAGGGAGGAAGCTGAGGAGAAGGGAGTGCCCTCCAAATGGGAAAGCACAGGTCACATAAAAACAGCTACCATTGAAAACACATAGTCTTGGCTTCTATTCCTGCTTCTGGCCAAATCAGTCTATCCAGGATTTGCAAAACAGATGTTTGTAAGGGGAGAAGGGGAACTTATCTTGTCGCTTGCCAGGTCCTATATTTCCATCCCTTTGAAAAACAGGGCCAGGTAGTTCCAAGCTGGGAAGTCAGACTCAGTAGCCACGTTTTAGAAAACCATTGATATTTCTGTGTGCATGAATTTGGAATGGTGGTGATGTTAATCTATAACTGTAATCTGCAAAAGCCCCAAGCAGGAGACTGTTACTGCATGTTCCAGAGGAGACACATATAGCAGACAGAGGAATTTCTCAGCTGCCTGCAATGGACAGCCATGAATTGAATTGGAAGGACAGAGGTGATAGGGTTTCAAAACAGCTGCTAGACTGATGACCTCTGGGGGCCTAAAATTAAAGCCTAGCTCAGTTTTCAGTCCCAGAGCAGCTCTTCGGGCAGCCAATAATGTTCTTTCCCCCTTCAGAGGTGGCAGAAAGTAAGTTAGGCTACTGTAACTCAGGAGAAAAACTTGTTGATTTAGAAAAGACTCTAAAGCTGCATGCAAGAAATACTTATTATTTACCAGTTAGTTATTTCTAGTAGCTCTGAGCGCAGGAAGGCAAAGCGATCTCATCAGCTCCTGCCAGAATCTCCTCTCAGGATGCTTTGTAAAGACTTTGGAGACAGGAGTGTCAGGCTACAAATCCCAGGGAACACCTCTTTCAGCATTGATGGTGCACCTAGTATAGTGGTGTCTGCCTTATTTTTTAGTAGGCTGCCCTCTCCCTAAAACTGCCATACTGCAGTATTGTATTGCAGTGGGACTGGTCCAAGTTTCCTCTGCAAACATTTGAGCAAGTCTAGGCAGTCTTTTGGGATTTCCCTCATAAATATCTAGTTTTGCATTTGGGCCAACCCATGCCAAAGCCAGCCCAGCTCCATTGCAGTCCTGAGCTTTGGGAGCATCCCCTGGGTCTGTCTTTGGCAGGAGTAGACTGCAGTGCCAGCCTCTCCACAGTGTGAGGGTGTTGTGCCGCATTTCATAGGGCTCTGAGTGTGCTATCTGCAGTGTGCAAGCAACTCTCTAAGAAGAAAAACCAGCATCACTTGTGGGTAGCAGCAGACTGCCATAGGACTGTTTCTGGCAGTGACTCGCTGTGGGAGTGCAGCCTGTTCATTTCTCTGCATGTTCTGTAAGAAACAGCAATTGTCATTATTTGATTTGGCTGACAAAAGTAGTGTAAGATCCTTGGGTGTAAACCTGGATTTGGCCAAGGGGCACGGGACTGCACAGCAATTACATTCCAATTCAGTGTTTGTCACACTTGCAGTGATTTATTTGTATCGCAAGTTCCTGCAGAGTCCCGGGTTTCTCTTGGCTGCATCCATCACCCTGAGCCCTCTGTGCATCTACATTCTGATTTTGTGCATCACTCTGGGGAGTGACGTCCACTTTGTCTTGCTGCTTTTCCTCCTGTTTGGCAGAATCCAGTCTGAGGGATGTCAGCAGATGTCAGAAGAGGAGGAGATAGTAGTGGGGCAAGACATGGGCTTGCAGACATTTGTCAAGCCCTGGCAGTGCAGATACCACTGAGAGAGGGCTGATGAGAGATCCCTCCAGAACAGCAGTGGTTGTGATGTTTCTTGCCTGGCACACAGAAATAGCTTTGATGTGCAGGACTAAAGTCCACAGCTCACAGGGAGCATTACTGGTGCTGAGCCAAGTCTGTGCTGCAGCCTTCCTTCAAGCCACAGTATATTTCAAAATGCACCTCCAACCCACCATCCCGGGAAAAATAAATCCAGGAAGCAGTGCCTCTGCCAGGAGTGCACGGAGAGGTTGGACCCTCCTCCACTGTGCTGCTTCAGCCTTGCTGGAGACTCCCCAGTGAAAACTAAGAATTTGCTGCCATCTGTAGACACTTGGGTGCTGTTCAGGCCATTCCCCCAGCCCTGCTCACACAGCCCTTATATAGGCAAGACAGTCACGGCAAAATCTCCCCAGTCCAAGGCAACCTATTCCTTTCTTCAGCATTTTGCCATCTAAGGTAGCTTCTGCCATCTCCAGCCTATTTATTCTCCACTTGCCAGTCCTGTGAGGAGGGTTTCAGCATCCAGCTCCACTGGTTGAAAGCAGAGAGCTTGGACTTTGCTGGGGGGCAGACAGTGATTCCCTTCCGAATGGCTCTGACAAAAAGGAAGTCTGTCTGTTGAGGAATGTATTGCTGAAGTCCCACAGTGGCCAGCAAGCTTTTCCCAGCAAAGCTGTGCTCTAGGTCTCCATTGGAGACCAACAGCTTCTCCTGGCAGGAGTGGCTGTATAGTGGGGACGGACATCTGCACCTCCACCTGCCATGCCTCCACCTCCCTGTCCCCACTGTCCTCCATGAGCTTTACCTCTCAAGAGATGCTTTGAGAAGGTGATCTGGCATCTCCCTCCCACCTCCGCAGTGTGTCCCTCTTCCTCAGGTCAAGAAAATAGCCCTGGGATGGTGAGAGAGTCCAAAACACCTTCCTGGAGAATGTAGGACCCTACACTTTCTCTACTGCATCATGGGGGGCTATTGCCACCCTGCGGTGTGTTCCACAGTATGGCCTCAGAGCACTGACCTCTGGTTAAACACTTCCTTGATGGAGTGAACCCCAGCCATGCAGGGAGATGTCCCAAGCATTAGCGCAGTTTCCTGTGCTATTCAGTCATGTGTTCCAACCCCAAACCCTCAGCAGACGAGAAACAGGGGTCTGAGCCCATGTCTCCTGTGGACCAGCCCATTGCAGCAGTGGCATCTTCCTTCACTCCCTCAAGTGCTCCAGTGCTGGGGCCACGGCCAAGGCTGTCAGAACAGGGGAGGGACACAGGGAAGGGATGCAACAATTCATGATGCCCCACTTCTGCCTCCTAGTTCCAGGGCCAGGCTAATCTGCATGTGTTTGAGGACTGGTGCGGCAGCTCCATTGAGCAGCTCAGGAAAAACCTGCACTTCCCCCTCTTCCCTCACGTAAGTAAGACCATGACACCTGCTGCCCCACACTTCCCAGCTCTGCTTCCCAGCTGGATCACCCCTGCTCCCTTCACATCCTGTCCCTATCTCTATCCATCATCTGTCTGTCCTGCTGCTCATAAACATTCATCACCTCCCTCTCAACCACTTCCTTTGTCCTCCTGCTGAGGGAGCAGGAGGTTTTCACAAGGATTCAAGTGTGGCAGCTCTTCTGCTGCACAGAGGAGGGTAATTTTCCTTATATTGGCCTGCCAGACCTTGGACACACAGTGAAGGAGCCCTGTATTTGGTGCTCTCCTTCCAAGTGGCTAGCAAATGCCACATCCCGTCGCCACCATCCCAGTGGCATCCCCATGCAGTTCTCCCATCCACAGCAGCACATGCTCCAGTTCATTTCTCATCTGACCTGCTCTTTCCCTCTGCCTCCATCACACACCGTAGCCCATCCTCCTCTCAGAGCAAACCTCATACTTCCCTCTGCCCACCTGTCTCAGGGTTTTTATATCTCCCCTTCTTCCTGTCACATCTAAAATTACTTTTATAATTTTTTTTCTTCTTTCGCTTCAGACACGAACTACATTGAAGAAGTTGGCTGTGTCCCCAAAATGGACCAACTATGGCCTCCGGATATTTGGCTACCTGCATCCTTTCACCGATGGTGAGGGTTCTGAGGCTGCTGTGCCACCACTCACGTCTCTTGTCACCCACCCCTCCCTTCCCTCTCTCCCCTCCTGGTGCTGAACCGCTCATGCCTCACCCTGGCAAGCCCAACGCCTGGTCCCTCACGTGGGCGACGTGCGTGACTGGCCGTTGCCTTGGCATGGGTGGGAATACATCTGCCTCCCTTGTAGGGTGGAAGGGAAAAGCGCAGGAGAAAACAGATGGGAAGTGCTAGATAAATAACAATGCTGTCATGAATGCACAGCCCCATGGCGTGTGTGGGGGCACGAACAATCCCTGAGCTTTCCCTCCCTCCCTCGCATGCCCAGGACTGTACATGACATCATTTATGTCCCTGCTGCTCCCTGGGTGCATGAATACCATCTGACAGCAGCTGACATCTGTATCACCCAGCTGCATGTGTCTGCCCAGAGCAGCCTGCGAGTGCTCACCCGCCTCTTGTGGTCCCCTGGCCCTCAGCTGCCATCCCTGTAACCCGCAGAACAGTGAGGCTCAAGCACCCCTGACTCCCTTTGTGGCTCCACATGCACATTCCTCCATCCAAACACAGCATCTCACACCAAAAAAATTGCTCTGGAAACAAAAAGGGAGTCAGTAAGTCTTTGCATAGACTTCTTAGCTTTCCAGGCTAGACATCAGATGAAGCTGATGCAGGAGGGGTAGTGAACAAGTTGCATCTGTAAACTTTGTTTTCAGTCACAGCAGAGTTAGAAAATTCAAAGATGATCAGAGGGGTGAGGGTGGCATTATCAACAGGGAAGCTATGGTCTCACCAGGAAAAAGGGCAAAGACAGCATTTTAGAGGAGCAGGATCTGTTCTGTGCACGAGCCCTTACCCCAAAGCCCTGCTCACTCCCTCCATCTCTCAACAGGGCAGTTTCAGTTTGCCATTGCTGCGGATGACAATGCTGAGTTCTGGATGAGTCCAGATGAAAAGACCTCTGGTCTCCAGCTGCTGGCCAGTGTAGGCAAGGTACAGTGCATACTGCAAGGCTTCTTCTGTCCAGGATTTAATGTATCTGTGGGAATGGAGACCTTCCTGACTTGACTTACATACTTTCTTGGAGTACTCAAGTTTCTTTTCCTGCCTAACTACAGACAATGCCACCACAGATCCCAAATGGGTATAACGTGTCATACCTTAAGCCAGTTATGCATTTGCAGTGCTATTGGGAGCCCCCTGTTCATGGTTAAGGGACTTAAGTTTGTCCATAGAGGATGGATCTCAGAGACGAGTTACCAGGAGGTATTGGAGGGAAGAGAGAGCTCAAATTTTCCCTCTTCATCATTCTCAGTGCTGTAAGAAGGGGAGAAACTCATCTTAACTAGAGCATCTTCCATCTCTTCACAGACCGGGAAGGAGTGGACTGCACCAGGAGAATTTGGGAAATTCCACAGCCAGCAGTCAAAGATGGTGAGGTGAGTGAGCAAAGTCCCTTGCTCCCAGCCACCTTTGCACATGGCCAGGAAATCACAAGGTCAAGGAAAAGGAACCCAAGCTTGTTCTGAAGAATTTAGCAATATAGAGAAAGGGATTACTCTGGGATATTGCCAAAGCTTTGCTGATTTACTGCAGGAATGCAAAACTTAATTTTTCTTCCCTGGAGGAGTCAGCCACCAGCAGTTCCAGACTCTATATGAACTATATCGCAAGCTTCCTGCCTTGGAACTGGCTGGGTTTCCCAGAGGCCAAAACCCAGCAGGCGAGACTGAAAGGGAGTTATTCAGCATTAACTGAGAAGGGTCTGTAGTGCTCCAGATGCACAGGGAAAGCTACCTATCTCGCTGTCAGCATCTGGATTTTCTTGGCAGCCCTAACCCCGTTCACTCTGAGAATTAGGTTGTTTCATGGGTGTGGTTGCTCTCCACTCATTGTCTGCTGACAAGCTAAGAAATGTTCCTTAATGCTCCTGGTGACAGACATGTTGTTCTTCACAGGTTGTCAGCTGCAGGCAGGTACTATTTTGAGGTGCTGCACAAGCAGGATGACAGAGGAACAGACCATGTGGAAGTAGCAGTGAGTCTGTGGAAATGACCATGCTGTATATATGTCCCCACAGAGCTTGGGAATGATGTTTGGAACTATTTCCAGGCCTCAGCTCCTCTTGCATGAGATGTATCTAATCCCTTCCAGAATCCTTACCTACTTCTGTGAGGGATAGTCCTGGCCACATGGCAGGACCCTTTCCTCTGCTTGCTTGGAATAGTTCTACCCTCTCCGGTTTCTTTTGCAGCTTTTTGTCCTTTCCCATTTTGGATTTGTCCTGGGGGATCTCAGCTCATTCCCAGTCTTTTGCTGCTAGGTAAATTCAGTCATAGCAGGGAGAAGGAGGAAAACTGCGAACCCATCTGGTGAAAAAACATCTTGTGCCTGTTCCTTTTTTTCAGGCTTGGTTAACTCCATAAGCACTTCATTTTAATGTGTTTCTCTGTTCCAGTGGAGACTGAATGAACCAGAAGCAAAATTCAGAGTGATTGACTCCCAATACCTCTCTCTTTTTGCTAGTAAGTATCTTCATCACAGATTTTCCCAAGCACCTCCCCATTCTTCCAAAACTTATCAGTCGTGTTTCACCATGAGTCATAGTCTAGCCAGGCAAATACCAGGCATACAGATCATAAGGAGAAAAAAGGTGGAGACAGGACAGGAGAAAAACTTCTGGACAAGGGTGTGACTTATTATTAAACATAGTAGAATTGGAAGTAAGATTGGAGCATTATTCCACGGAAGTCTAGAGGTAGCGCGAAGAGTATGCAAGGGTGAGAAGTGTTCCAGATGTGAGAGTAACACAGGATGGAGTTTGCTTGCTGTGTGCCAGGGGGAATGTGAGGTTCACAATGTGGGAGTCGTAGGGGTGTGCCGTCAGCTGGACACGACCAGGGAGGAGGACACCGTAGCACTTCCAGGAGAAGTGGAATTCCTGAACACAACAGGAGACACTAGTGATATTGGAAGATGCTGCTTTCTTCTGTACCAGCCTCAAGCTTCTTCAGGTTGGTGCTGGATTGCAGCAAACACATCAGTCCAGTCTCTCCTGTTTTGTAAACCCTTCTTAGCACATCAAGTGATGCCTTTATCAGTTAAGGAACTCCTTAGTCCTGTTTACCCTCACCTAGCTTTGTCAGCATCACTTTCCTCTGCCCACATTCCCCCTTTCCATATCTACTACTGTTGCCTTCCAGCATTCCTGGTTTTTTTCCACACCAGCGCTTCTGTGCATGGAAGAGACTCCCTGATGTGGTCGAGACATCTGTTTGCTGTGTCTTGGATCACAACCTGCTGCTGTATTTTCTGAAACCTGCCATTTGACCAGGACCAGGCTTTCTATTAGGTCTTCTGTCTTCATCCTTTTTCCCTCTGCTCTTTTCTTATTAATTCCCTGTAGAATAGAAAACTGACATTCCAGAAGATCCCTCTGTGCTTAGGTACAGTGCTGCAGTCTCATCTTTATCTGTCACCTTCTGCCCATACCATTTTTCCCTCTTCCATGTTAGTCTTTGGCTGTATCACATCATCCCATTCCTTCTGGGTTCATGTGTTGTTCAGTACCCAAAAGCTGCACACCAGTGCCCTTGGCAGCATGTTGCTTTTTCCTTCATGGATATTTGTTGAATTCCCCTCATTTTAGAGTAAGATCCATGGAGACATGAAGTCCCACGGCAGCAGCACCCAAGAAAAAATGTAACCAATACTCAGTCTTGAGTTTGAGCTTCCTATTTTTCCTGGCTTAGTGTGGGTCTTCATTCCCTTTCTGCAGTAACATCCTCCTCAGCCACTGAAGGCCTTGCCCCAGGCTCCTGATCCTTTTCCAGCACAGGTGAAAGCTCCTCTCTTCAGGTTTTTCCTCCCATTGATCTTTTTTATCTCCTTTTAAAAGAAATGCAGTACTAATAATACAGAGGCATCCAGTAATTCCTGCCAGCATGGGGCTTCTTCAGCACACCACTGCTGGTGTGTCCAAGGCAGGAGGCCATTTTCCTCCATAACTTATTCCTGTGTGTGTTTGCTTCCAGTGATAGCCATGTTCCTACCCCACAGCCTCTGTTCTGTATTTCCAGCTTTCTGGGTCAGAGCCTTTCCTTCCTGCCGTGTCCTTGCAGTGATGCTCCCGGTCAGCACCATTTAGGCATTGCTGTGCCACAGACAGCATTAGTGCCGTGGATGCAAAGCCATTTGGAAAGGGCTGACATTGGAGAGAGGTGCTTTTTGAGACAAGGGACAAATTAGCCCTTCCTTCCCCTTTTGTTCTCTCTTTGGTTTCTAGATGAGACACTTTTAAAGATGGATGAGGTTGGGCATATCCCACAGACATTGGCCAGTCGCCGGAACCGGCCTGCTGACAGCGCAGGCAGCAAGGCACACCCGGCTGACATGTTGAAGCTTGACCCCCGGGACACTCTTTACGAAGGTAAGACTTGCAAAGCAGCTGAGGAGGTAACTGCAGCCTGTCACAGCACGTGTGGCAGCACAGCTGAGAAGGATCGTCCTCCTACACTACGGTTGTCAAAGCCATGTTTTTTTATCCCTGGTGCAGAAGAGAGGGGCAGCTACAGTATCAGTCACTGTAGGAGACAAAGCACAGACTAAACCCCACTCCTTTTTCTTGACATCCAGCTCACACAAAATCGCCAGGCATAATATTTTTGTACTAGTGCCTTAGAGGGATATAAAGAGATGAGTTGTGCAAGGTTTGCTTTATGTATCTGTTAGAATTTCACATGGATAAATGAAAAACAGGGCCAGAAGTAGCTAAGCTGGTGCATCAGTTGCATCCTGCAGCGCTTGCCCATGTATTTCCTCTTCCCAGTGCCTCTGCTCAGCAAGTCCCGTGTGCGCCGAGCCTTGCCAGACTGCCCCTACAAGCCCAGCTACCTGGTGAACGGATTCCCTCTGCAGCGCTACCAGGGGCTTCAGTTTGTAAGTTGTATTTTTTAAGCAGGTACTTGCCCAGGGGAACACAAAGAGGAAGGAGAGAGATCCCATTTAACCATGGGGCCTCTCCACTGATTTTAAGGTCCTGGGCAGATCTGATCATGTGTTCAGATGCCAGAGGGAGATCAGTGCTGTGCACTGCTCATGTGTCTCACTAGGATACAAGTGTGTGTGTGTACAGAGCCCCTTGGGCCTCAAAGCAAAGAGCTGAGCTTGCCTTCACACAGAGCCTCACAGTGGCTGAGGATTTCATTATCTGTGGGGTGAACTGTACCACTAAAGCCCTGATATCTCTTCAGGAGGGCTTGCCCACCTCTCCCCCACCTAGTTCTCACTCTGTTATTTGAATTAAGCTCATAGTTACAGAGATGGACAGACAGATGCTGAGAAAGGGAGGAAAAGACACACCCAGGCACTCATCCTAGCATGCTTCCTTCTGTTTTCCATTCTCACAGCCTGCTATTGCATGCCTTGGAGAGGCAAAGATTTAGTGAGCAACTCCTGCTCCCTCTAAAAAGGGCTGCTTACCCTGCACCTATGTCTGGGTTACCTTGTGACTGATGTTTGGCATTTAAGAGAGTTTTACTTTGGTTTTCTCTCTTCTTTCCAGATTCATTTATCCTTTGTTTACCCAAATGACTACAGCCGCCTGAGCCACATGGAAAAAGAAAACAAATGTTTCTATCAGGAAAACCCTTATTATTTGGAAAGGTAGGATGCTGCAGATGTGGGTTTAGTAGTAGGGAGGGAGGAGATGGTTTGAAGGCTGGAATTGGTGTGGAATTTCATACTCACTTCTGTAGGACTCTCAATTTTTAAAGATTTCCTAAGCCTTGCAAAACATTAGAGCATTTATAGTTTCTTTTGATAACTTAAGTGAAAATATTTTCAGGTCTCAAGGGGAAACTGCCTCTGCTTTTCTTGCAGTAATAACCCAGCAACTGAGTCAGACCATGTTTGTTCCACTACATCAGGGAGTGTATTCCTAGGAAGCTTTGCCTGACAGCAGCTGGAGTCTCCTAAAAGCTGTCACTGTGAAAACCAAACCATGCTCACCACCAGGCATCTCTCTGGGGGAAGAAATGCATGTCATTCATCTTCACTGGGGCTGTGATCTCAGTGATGGCCTCATGAGAGAACTGCCACTTGTATGCTCCCTCCATAAGAGACAGACACCTTTTGTGAGGACTCCTGTCCATTCAGGAGGACTTTTTTGCAGGATAAGAAATCACTTTACCAGTGAGATAGCTGATTGCTGGCTCATTTTCTCACAGCTGATGGTGGCCTCCCTGTGTTCAGGATCTTATTCCACCCTTCAGGACTATTTTGAGGGCTGGAACAACAGATCATGGCATGAGTTTGGGAGGAGGCTCATGGTTCATAATGAAGGATAGAGAAGGTGGCTACCATGGGCTGGAAGGTGACACCTAGGTTTATTGCTTTGGCAGTTTATTTGTATCGTGGCTGGATTTGGGAACGGAGGGCCCGTTTTGCTTGGTACCAAGCACATGTGGAGGGAAACAGCCCTGGAAATCCCTCCCAAAAGCTTGAAGCACAGGCACATGAGGACATCACATAGACAGTAGTGGTATGAGAGAAGAGAGAAGGAGATGACTGCAATCAGCTGCTTGAGCTGCTTTTGGAGCGTGATGATTTGCGTTTGTGAGCACTACATCTTAAGGAAGCTTTAAGGAGTAGTTTAAGGGAGCCTAAAGAAGTGTTTCAGGGTACTTATATTGGGGGTTCCTCCTGCACTTAGGTGAAAATGTCTTGAGAGACTGAGATGATAAGGAAGGAAAATGCATGTCTTAGACATTGCAGAGTAAGACCTGATTGCCCAAAGATACAAAAGTTGGCGATGATGTTTGGAAAGTAGGATCTAGAGGTTCTGGGTAGACATAATCAGAGTAATGGATCATCACCTCTGAAACAATGGCTATTGTTTATTTGGAAAGGGCAAAGTAACTTTCATCAAATTTGTGTTTCTTCCCTCTACAGATTCGGATTCTACAAGTACATGAGAATGGATCGGCCAGAGAAGAGCCTGGACTCAGGAGAAAGGACAGAGCAGCCAGGTAGGGGCCCTAGTGTCACAGCCAGAAAATCCTTTCACCTGTCACTTTTTTGTGTGGTCTTCCAGCAGCAGCTGAAAGAAGCTGTTGACTTTCCATAACAAGGAAGTCACAGCCTTTCCCTGCCAGATTATTGTGTCTGGGAGGAGATTTTTGCTGCCACTTTTACTTCTCTCAAGGGCAGGCTGGGAGATCACCAAAGAGTGGGCTGTAGTAGACAACATGACAACTACCTCTCAGGCCCACAGCTTATCTGAGAATTAATTCTAGCAAAAACATGGGCAGGAGCAACAGAGCCAGAGCTGTGCAGCGTGGCAGCCTGTGCTCACACCTGCCTTGCAAATCTGTGGCCAGACAAGACAGCTAAAAGCAAAGCCAGACACCTCCACAGCCTTTGGCAGTGGTGGCTAATAGGTGCTGAGGAGGTTGGTACCAGCAGGAGCACAGATCCCATGTGTGAGAGCATCCCTGTTCCTCTGAGCAGGAGGGGCAACACTGAGATGAGGTGAGAAGTAGCTGCCCCCTGGGTTAGGAGAGGGAAAGCAGCGGGAGGATGCCAGAGGTGTAACTTGGATTACTCCTGCAGGCTCCCAGGAGGGGAACCTGGATGACCTGCAGTACGAGGAGCAGGACGCAGAGAGTACCCGTCCCCCCGAGCTCCCTGGCACAGCAAAGGCAGAGCTGTTGGGCAACGCTCCCAGCAGCGTGTTGGGCAGTGACAACATTCATGAGGGCTATTCCTTCCGGGAGCGCCGTCGGCTCCTCTCAGAGATGGGTGGTAACGTAGAAGAGGGAATACAAAGGAGGACAAAGAGGTCTGGTGTCAAATCAGCCATGCTGGCCTCTACTAACCGAAGCCTCAGCCAGGTTGGCCTGGAGGGGAACCCAGTAACAAAGAGACCCCATCTAAAAGCTGGTGTCAAAGACAACTCCAGGAGCCCTCTGCAGCATACCAGGGCCATCCAGGCGAGAGCACCTGTCAGAAGGGCAAACCCTCCTTCTAGGACTGTATCTCAAAGACAGCAGTCTGTTGGCCATCCAAGGGACTCAGGGGTCACAATTCCCAAAGGGGTGAGACCTCGAGGAGATCTCAGCACTGCTAAAGATGGGCTGCAGCCAGCAGGGACCATGGCAGCCAGGAAAGGAGGCCCAGTCTCTGGCAAAGCCATCAGACGCTCTGTGAGCACTGCCAGTCCCAGCCAGCCTGGGCTGCCCCAGTGGCTGAACCAAGTGAAGTCCTACATTGCTGAGCACAAGGCAGCCAATGGTGGGAATGTGGACGAAGGAGAGGCACAGGTACCTTCTCCTGTGAAGGACAAATCTGGACCTGTGGCAGCAGAAGACGAAGAGGAAGAGGCGGATGGGGAGCCAGAGGAGGAAGATGAAGAGGATTTTGATTACGTACCAGTGTTCGACCAGGCAGTGAACTGGGAGCAGACCTTCAGCACGAACAACCTGGACTTCCATATGCTGCGCACAGACTGGATTGACCTGAAATGCAACACATCAGGAAACCTGCTGCTAAGAGAAAGGGAGGCCCTGGAAGTTACACGTGTCTTCCTGAAGAAGCTCAACCAGAGGAGTAAAGGGTAAGGCACAGTGAGAAAACCGAGGGACTGAGTCCCGGGGGTGGTGTACCATGCTGCACAGGAGATACTTATCATGGGAGTAACTAGTGAGAATCAGAGGATAAACTACATGTGGGAAATAAGATTTCAGGCAAGGAATCTGGGTAAAACACTGGGTTTTAAATATACCTCTTTTGGCGGATAAATGGTGTCAGCTTTTGCTGGTGCTCTCTTTTTACATGGTCTTGATATGGTTCTTTTTCTTCTCAAGATTTACCATCTTGATTGCCTTCCTGGAAAACAGACATACTTCCTCTGAGCCTCCATAATCTAAACAACCCACCTCTCAACTCTTCCATTGGGTTAGCCTCTATTTCCATAATTTTTTAACCAATCCTTTTCCGTGCAGGTTTCAGTTTGAGTTAATCTTCCTTGACTCAAGTCACCAGTATCCTGGATGTTTTATAGAATAGGTGTAATGAATTTCCAATCCCTGCTGGAAGTAGGTCAAATGTTACATCTTAATATCACATTTGTTTTTTCAGGGCCACATTACACAGTCAGGTGTAACCGATCAGTACACTTGAGCTTTTCTCTGGCAATCATCAACTTTGCAGCGGAAACTCTTGTTACGATCTGAAAGAGCATAATCTGGCATTTCATCCAGTTTTGGCCATTCCAAACCTATAGCTCGCTCCAGTTTTTACTGTGTGATTGCTCAGTCCTCCTCCATGCTCTTGGCTGATAAGCTGTCATGAGCCAGTTTCACTAGTCCAAACATACTCCTTGTGCCAAGATCGTTGTAGGTGGTGTTGAGTACACTCACTACTACCAGCCCTACAATCATTCAGACACATTTGTTATTTTCTGTGTCACCTTTATTTCATTTCCCCTGCCAAATATTTTTCTCTTGGCCGGAATCCCAGGTCTAATCGCACATGCTTGTGGATTTAGGAAACAGGTGCTAAACCTTCCCATGGGACTTTGGAAGCAGTGCGGCGAAGCAAGGGGAAGCTGGGGACAAAAAGGTTTATGCTAGCCAGGAGGAGGGAGCCTAGCAGAGCTGAACAGGCCAAAGGTGGGAGCAGGGCTGGTGTAGAGGGTCCATGCCCATGCCAACTCATATCTCCTGCAGGCGGTTCCAGCTGCAGCGTATCGTGAACGTGGAGAAACGCCAGGACCGCATGCAGGGCAGCCGCTACCTGCTGGAGCTGGAGCTGCTGGAGCAGGGAGGGCGGCTCGTCCGCTTCTCCGAGTATGTCTTTGCGCGGGGCTGGCAGGGCGTTGGTGGCAATGAGGAGGAGGAGAGGAAGATGAGGAGCCTGGTGTGGGGCCACCGGCGGCACCTGATGGCTGTGGTGAATGAGCCAGAGCTGTGCTGGCCCCAGGGCTTTTCCTGGAACCACCGTGCCATGGTTCACTTCGTGGTGCCAGGTAAGGGGGACCTGCCTCCCCAGGACATCGAGGGATGGCAAGGTGGGCGGTTCCCATGAGGGCAGTCCTGAACAGGGAATCTGGGCCAGCCTCAACCATCTCATTTAGAGATTTCTGTTCTCTCCAAGTAAAACCTCCTCAGAAATATAATAGGACCCAAACTTCCATGGCTTGTAAGCTTAAAGAAAATTCCCGTCATATGGTAGGAAAGAACCCACACTGATTCCTTGATTCTTTGGACCAGGTTTTCAGCCTGGGCCTGTTTCAGCATCCCTGCAAGGTTATTGGGGTTTGACAGGAGGCAAGAAGCCTTGCCTGTTGAGAAACAACACCATCACTGAAATCAGTTTGCTTAGATTATCTCCCTGTTGCAATACAACCAGTGAAAAACCAGGCACGTTGGGTGCTTCAGTTCATCTCTGACATGGAAGAGCTGTTCCGAGTCACTAAGGATCCCAACTTCAACATCATCATCACAGACTACAGCAGCGATGACATGGATGTGGAGAAGGCTCTGAAAAGGTCTACCTTGCACAGGTGAGAGCACTGCTTGGTCACAAAAAAGCCACTCACACACGTATGCTGCAAACACACATCTCTGTGTGTTGACCAGCCACAGCCTGCCTGCTGTAGCTGGAAAACTGAAGATAACACCCACCCAGACCTTGCACATTACATGAATATATTGTTATCATGATGTGCATACACACCTTATACTGCATGAAATATCCAGCGTTATAGAAGTGTAAGGCAATACCTAGTGTAGTGTTCCATCCAAATTTGTTGAATTTATCTCTATTTTCAAGTTTGCAAAAGGGAAGAGAAAGCATGTCTCACAGTGATGGGGCAGGGGGAGGACAGACAAGAAAGGTGTGAGAAATAGGACAGGAAGCGTGGAGACCTCTGTGGACTCAGCTTGCTCAAATAACTGTCTGGCTTACCCTACTCTGATCTGAACCAGCCTTGGCTGTCATTTCCTTTACATGCCAGTAACAGGTCTAGTCCTAGGATAGATAGACTGGATTAGAACTGAAAAAACTTTTCTAGGCATTGCCCTCTCCTTGCCTGCAGAAGGAGGAAGACTCTGAGGGCATGATGGGACCTGGAGCAGTGCTGAGCTTGTGCATTCACCCAGCAAAGGCTTTCCTCCTCCTTGAGAGGGTGCATGGGATGAGGGCAGCTCCACAGCCTTATGCCTGTGATGCTTCCTGTGCTGCCAGCACATGGGAACTGAACTTGACTTTCCCATCTGTCCCCCAGCTACCGGTACCTGAAGCTGACAGGGAATTTTGAGCGTTCTGCTGGGCTGCAGGCGGGGATAGACCTGGTGATGGTAAGTCTGGGGGCCTTTGGGGTGCACACTGGTGCTATCACTACTTTTGGTACTGTACACACTGTCTTTAGGGAAGGGAATAGCCTGGCAGACCAGATCAAATGTGGATGTGTTTCCTGTCCTTCCTGAGTAAGGGTCTCGCCCTTTATTCTGAGGAGCCTGTGTTCTGTTTGGTTCTCAGTCCAAGTGCTGGGACTGTCAGACAGGAGGGAAATTGGCAGTAGCAGCTTTGAGATACTGGCTCTGCCAAGTCGTAGTCGTGGTATTTCAGATTCATTGTTGAACAACCACTCAGTGGCTGCTTTACCAGCCTCTAGGACCTCAGTTTCTGATGCAGCAATGAATGGCTTTTTAATTGACTCCCATGTCTCTGTCTTCCTGCTCCTCAAGAAAGACTTACTGAAAGTCAACCTATTTTTTCCCAACCGGTGTGGTTTATTCCAGGACCCGCACAGCATCGTCTTCCTGTGTGACCTCCACATCCACTTCCCAGCTGGAATCATTGATTCAATCAGGAAACACTGTGTGGAAGGCAAGATGGCCTTCGCACCCATGGTCATGAGGCTGCACTGTGGGATGTCTCCACAGTGGCCTGAAGGTAAGAGGGAGTGGAGCCTCTTTGGCTCAGACCTTGGGCAATGGGGAAGGAAGAAGGGTGTCTGCCACCTCTAGATTTTTTCCTCTGGTGTTGTTGAGGTCTGAAGTTTGAGGTACTTCCAGGTCTACAAGGTTGAGGGTATGATAGATGAGGTTTAAGAGCACCAGGCACCTGGAATTTGAGATCAAAAAGCTAGCAGAGCCCTTTGTATGATGTTTCTCCTGGTCGTCTCCCAAGGCTCTTTATGGATTTAAGGACCTTGGAAAACCCTTCCTTTACTCCCTTCCATCAATTCCTTTCTTTTCTTAGAGGGCACATCCTGTCCTGAGGAGAACTAGTAGAGCAGGGGTGAGGGAAACCAACCCAAGTCAGAGGGGGGGAAAGTGGCATAGATCATTTTAGCATAGGATTTTCTTTAGACAGATGTGGCCAACCGGAGCCATTAAGGCACAGGGCAAACCCTGTGAAGCTGGGACAGTCCAGGAGATGTTGGAGGCTTTGCTAACAAGTTGATAGGACAGCCCATGCTGTCTGTCCTCAAGCTTTTCTCACTTCCCAAAGCTGGTTGGCATGGTTGGCTCTGCCTTGGTGCTGAGTTTGCTCTCACACATCATGCTAAAAGTAGTTTGAATCTCTCTCCAACATCTCTGCTAGAGTCATCAATGGTTCCAAGCACCAATATACCTGTGCCTCTTTTGTGCTCTCCTCAGGCTACTGGGAGGTGAATGGGTTTGGTCTCCTGGGCATATACAAATCTGACCTGGACAAGATCGGAGGCATGAACACAAAAGAGTTTCGGGACCGCTGGGGAGGAGAGGACTGGGAACTCCTGGACAGGTAGGTATCCATTATTATTGTTCATGTGCTCGTGAAGGGAGACACATTGGATCTTGGAAGACCAATGACCAAGGAGTGGGGATCTAAGGAGATTGAGATGACTGCTGCCACCATAAGCTTAGTCAGTGAGGGAGAATCTTTGAGCTTGTCCTGACCTCAAACCTAGTAGGTAAGGAGACACAAAACACTCTCCTACAGCCATTAGTAGGAGAAGAGCCATTTTCTGGTGCCTTAGTGTCACACTGCTGGTTGGCCATATGCAGATCAGGCACTGGTGATTGTGAAGGCTTTGTCCTCTTCCAGCAGTGCAGCACACAGTCTGGGTCCCTCAGACTTCCCATATAATGTTTAGCAATTGTCCAGAAGAACAAATATTGGAGAAACATTTAAAGGTCACAAGGTACAGTTACAGTTTCTGAGAAGTTTGTAGTGAGAGATCTCTGCTGGACAAGTCCTAGGCCCCTGGGTTTGTAGTTCTAGGCTTTGGGCCCTGTCCTGTCTTTTCTGACAGCTGACTGCAGAAAAGACTAGCATCCTGAGCAATCCTGTGCTGCCAGCTGTCTTTTCCTCCTAGTCTGGTATGTGCAGGCACTCCTGACCAGTCCTGCTCTCAAGGGTGCATACAGACTCAGCAGGTGTCATTAGATGCCTGCTTATGGATACGAGATACCCCTGAGCTATTCTGGACTATCCAATTTACTTGTAGTCTCTTGTCAACAGCACAACTTAAAAGAGCTTTCCTGGGGCTGAGCCCCCCCCCCCCCCCCCCCGCAGTATCTTTGCAATCAAGTTTTCTCTGAGTCTACCCGTCTTTCTGCCAGGATCTTACAGGCTGGGCTGGAAGTGGAGCGTCTCTCCCTGAGAAACTTTTTCCACTGGTTTCACTCAAAGCGGGGCATGTGGAACCGACGCCAACTGAAGACACTGTAGCCTTCAACCCCAAAGCTGTTCGGCGGCACCGTCCACCATCTCATCTAGATGTGCACTTTACTGAGGCTCACAGCCGAGCACACAAACTCTTCCTCTGCCTCCAGAGCCCTCTGATGGGATGGCACAGCCAGGGAAGGGATGATCAGGCTGGCGGAGCGGGAGCTTCTCTTCTGAGCCGTTGTATCCAAGACATGGGATCCATGTCTGGATGGGGAGGTGTAAAGGAGATGTCAACAAGGGAAGGACTCGCGTTTCCTGCTGTGCAGTCTGGTGGATGGTACAGTGGGAGAGGTGCCATATTTCCTGTTGAGTCTTGCACCAAACAAACACAAATCCCAGCTAAGCCCGGAATGGTTTATTTAGAGCAATGCAGCTTCTCTTTCAATACTGGAATGAAAAAAAAAGAAAAGAAAAAGAAAAAACAATAACCCTCCCCATTTCCCCTCCTTCCCCATCTCTTCAGTATCCATGATTTTGGACAGGGGACCAAAGTTCTCTGAACTGTATTGCATCCACATGCCCATGTGCTGACCCAAGGAAACCTGGAATGGAGGAGCTAATAGGCACTTTAGGCTGCTGGTGCTTAGATGTTTCTCTGTGCTTTTCACTTTAGTCATTATGAAAAACTGTGCTCATATTCAGCAAATGATGGGCCATAGATGGAGATGCAAATATATTTCCCTTACGAGAGCCTTGTTTGCTTGTAGTTGGGTGAGCTGGTAAGGGTGATGTTACAATTCCACCTAAATTATTGATCCACTGCCTGAGGATAGTGGAGGGGTTATACAGAGAAGCTAGGAGGGCATCTCAGGAGGAACTTTGCAGCCTTATCTGACAGACATATGTTTGTCCTAACAATATCAGGGAAACCCTAGCAGGGAAGAAGTGGCAATATTTTAGTAGTTGAAATATTGTGATTTTGTCAGAAGAAGAGGAGACAGAGTATTCTGCTCTCAAAATCCTGTACATTTATGCAGCATCTAAAAGTTAATTTAATAACTTATGGCCTCACAGTTGTGTCTTGTCCTAGTTTGACTCTTATGTAGAGAGCAGGCTTCTCGGTTGCAGAACCAGCACAGCGTTTGGTGCTTCATCTCTGAAACAGCCCTGGGAGCTCTGGCCTGATACAGAGGAGGTGGCCTCAGGTCTGGGCACATGCACTGGATGTAAAGAACAGTGAGGACGGAAGAGGGTTGAGTGAACAAAAGCACAGGCAGACCCATGCTGTCACTGATGTGGAAAGAACCCACAGCAGGCCTGATGCTACAGGGAATTCTCATCCCCTAAAACTCCTTTTAATACAAGGCAAGATTTTTTTACCCTGTAACCCTTTTAGAAGACTATATACACCCAGAAATCCCAGCACACTCACTACTTTACACTGGAGCTCCAGTGGTCCCCGTACCATCCTAAAAAGGCTGCTACTGATCTCAAGCTTGAGGGGAGAGTGTGACATAGGACTCTGCTTTTGGGGCCCAGCTCTGTGGGGAATTGTTGAGAAGTGAGTAGTGGAGGTATGTAGAATACAAGCAATGCTGACATGGTACTTAATTTTTTTTTGCTGATAGAGTAGATCCCAATTCAGAATGGGCGTTCATTTGTTACTTGACAAGTCCATCAAGTTCCACTATTGCAGTAGAAAACTGAACATGCAAGTTCTGGCACGTGAGACAGAAATCCTGTCAAATCATCTGCTTGCCTTAGTCTGGGTTTTGTGACTGATGGAGTTAGAAAAAGGCAACCAGATATAAGAAAGTTTTGCTGTGCAGCTTGCAGCCATGGTAAGAAGCAGACAAAAGACAGCTGTGCCTCCGACTCCACAGAGCCTTTGCCAGAATGGAGACAATGAGTATCCCAGAAGAGGCAGCCTTAGCCATCTGCCCAAGCCAGAGCAGTCTTCCTATTGAGGGAAAATGCTTTACCCAAGTAGATACTAAGAAATTAGTCACTGCAGCTGGGCTGAGAGGAAAGAGGCTGACAACAGTCAACTTCCCCCCCCCCCCCGCCCGAAAAGTATTATAGGAGTTCAGGAGACCAGGACCTTGTGATGCAATGTTGCAATAAGCTCTATTTTTGCCTGGAATGTGCAGTGTCAGTCATGCTCTCAGTGCATGTCAGAGCCTGTGCTTCACTCACAGGCACAGTCCCACGAGTGTGCAGGTGAGCTGCTTTCCAGGCTCCAGGACTGCACCTCCACAGCCTGTCCAGGCTGGCTCTGTCACGCAATCCCTGTGGAATGGGGAGAGGCTATCGGGAAGGGCGAATGCCGGGACACAGTGAGGCAATAGCAGGACCAGCTGTCTGGCCCCATCAGGCTGAGAAAAGCATGATGCCCATTTTGCAGATGTAGAGCTGATGGATTCAGTGGCAGCCTGTAAGTCGTGCACAGGGAGAAAGGGTTATCTGTACCACGTGCTTTCACATCTGGCTGTAGCTGTGGTCCTCAGCACCTAAAGTTAGCAGCTGGCTTTCATCTGCAGGCACTGGCAAGAATTAGGTGCATCCAGAAGGTAACTCACTTGCCTTAATGATGATATGAGTGGCCTCTTCCCCACCAGGGCGGACAGTCATCAAAGAGTGGATGGGAAAGCAGCGCTCATTGCAACACTACCAGCATAATTTGAGGATTTTGCCTCCATTTTTCATCTGTCACTGTGTTCCTTCCTTCATACCTTGTAACCCAGGCCAGTGTCAAGCAGAACTACCTCATGCGGGCTCCTTGGTGAAGATGTAAGGAGTTAGTGGTTTTCAGTCCTGTTTCCTGATGGCCAGTGTCCCTGCTGTCAAAGCTGCCATCTCAAATGTTCTTCCCACAGTGGGAATTCTCAGTTGGTACTTAAGCATTGCTGTAGTAAACGTGATTAATACTAATTGGCACTAGCTGGCAGTCTCCATGGAGGAGCTTGGAGAGCCCATGGGGACAAAAGCTGTCTTCCAGCCCACATGCTCAAAGACCAGTGCAGGCTGTAGAGTGAGAAGGGGCTACACGCTCCCCAGTTTGCCAGCCAGCAGCAAACCTTGCAGGAGCAGCACTGGGCTTTGCTCTGGGGCTGTTTCCCCTCTTCCAAAACAACCTGCAGTTTTTCTCCCCGGCAGGGAGAGCAGGAAACCCAGCAGGAGCAGGTAGTCCCACAGCCATGTAGTGAAAGGACATGGCCAGCCAGGGCGGTGGCCAGACCAGAACCACAGAGGTTTGCCCCATCACTAGTGTTGCATGTCTTGCATCGTCTCTGGGTCCAGCACAGTTCCCAGAGGGAAGAGGGAACCTGGCTTCACGGGCAGGAAGCCCTGCAACAGTTGATCACATTTCTCTCACTAGGATCTCTTTAGAAAGCTGTGCCGAGTTTCTGGCCTTCATGTGCATCCTGGCTGTGTCCTGCCTCAACAGCAGGAGTAAGTCAGTTGCGTGGGATTTTCCATGCATCAGGCAGGAGCAAGCTGCTCCGGAAGATCTCTGGCTGGTGAGATGATGGGCCATGGTTCAAGAGAGACCTCACCTGGGGCAGGATGTGACCAGGCTGTGGTGCCTGGGCCCCCAAGTGTGGGGTGCAGGGCAAGGGAGCTCTGATGCGACTCAGTCTTCAGGACTGTGAATTGTGGGGCTGGGACTTGTTTTGCAAGTCAGCAAAGGGAGCGAAGAAGGGCTGGCTTTTATTCTGAGCAAAATGTTTTGTGTGAAAATTATAATGTGATTTGTTTTGTCATTGTCTTAATGTTTGCCCATTATGAACATCTCTTCTTATTGCCTACAAATGTCTGAAGTTGATTGTTTTTTAGATACAGATGCCTTGTGTTGAAAATCTGAGTTGTACCTTTGGACTACCTGCCTTAAAGCGTCTCTGTGCCTTCAAGACAACTCCTGGGCCACCTCTCTGTTGGAGCTGGGGGATATACAGATTCTCCCTCATGCTTTATAAATACATTGTCTTCCTACAAGAGCTCACTTCTGTCTGTGTGTTACTCACAACCACATCACCGTGCAGCAGGGATTAGAAACCAGATGTTGCTCCTCTGTCTTCATATAACCGAAAGCATAGGCAATACCAGAGACAGATCACTCTCTGCCCAAGGCAGCAAGAGCTCTGCAGCAGGAAGTGAGTGGGAGATGCAGCAAGCAAGGTTAGCCAGGAGTGAGACCTGTTTCAGTCCCTCTAGGTCTGCAGAAAGTGGGATGGCAACACAACAGTATTTCTCCTGTCTTCCTGGCTTTGTCTTGTGGAACAAGAAGGAAACATTGGACAAATACACATCCCACCAAAGTACAGGTGTGATGTGATCATAGAGAATGTGGAAAACAAAGTGGTCCTCCTTGCAAGCAGAGGACAATTCCTGGAGAAGACCACAGGTGAGAGCCTAGACCCAAGTCTACAGCCTACACAAATGAGATGTCATCTCTTTCACAGCAGCTGATTATTTAGGTTCAATTTGGGCCCATTTTTGCTTCAGCTGTGTGTTGAACATCAAAAGCTTGGCAGGAGTGGGAGTCAGACATGGAGAGGGGAAAAGGCAGCCAAGGTTGCTAATGAGTGATTTCATTATAATGAGAAATTATTATTATTAAAGGTGATGGGGGAAAAATATTCCAGTGTGCTGCCAGCCTTTTGCTTGTCTGGGATGAGTGACAGAAAGCCTTTTCTGCTCAGGCAAGTCTCATGTACTGTCATACCTGATCTAGTAGCTCTCTGAAACGATGAAGTTAAGATTTAGTAAGGAAATTCCCATCACTTCTTCTTTCCCAGCTGAACCTTTTCTTTTTTTTTTCCCTCTCTTTACATTCAGTTATCAATGCTAATTGCTTTGCGTTCTGCTCCATGAAGCAGTGAGTCCTAGGGTTTGGGATCTGCACATGGGATGCATAACATTTTACCTTTTCATGAACTCAGCTGGCCAGTAGTGGCTGAGAGCCCTTAGCTTGTGGTTTTGCTTTGCCTACAAGTGGCTTGGTTACCTCTACAGTGAAGCCCTTTTCTAGAGGAGAGCAGGATAACAGGCTTCCCAAAAACATGCACCCCTGTCTGCTTTCAGTCTTGGCACAGAGCAAGGACTGAGTTAAGCAGCAAATTCAGTGTCACTCCAGACCTGTCATCCCCCAGATAAAGTGCAGGACAAGTCTTTGCCTGTTTCACCAAACAGATCTCAGACTGTGCTCAGCTTTGCCACTTTAAATTCTGGTAAATACATAACTGGTATTTTCCACCCTACTCTTTTTATGCAACTTTCCTTCAGCTGCCAAAAAGTCAGTTGCAGGTACCTGCTGATGCTGGCCCCGTGGCCTTACCCACCACCTTGGTGAGCAAGATCATTCACATCCTCTCCAGAAAAAAAGCGTCACCTGTGAATTTCACCTTACAGTGAAATTTAGGTCTGTCAAGCCAAATACACAATACAAATGAAATCTGTCT